GTGCGCGGGGCGTTCCCCGCCTGCGGCTCCGGCCGCCGCCGCCAGGGGGCTGAGACCTGCGGTGGGTGCACGTGGCAGCAGGGCAGCCCTGGGGCAGGCTCTCGGGAAGGGTCACCTGCTCTGAGCGTGTCACAGCCCAGGCCAGGCAGCTCCTGTGCTGGGCTGGGGAAGACGCTCCTCCTCGTTAGGCCATTGGTAAAGCCCTCCAGAGAGAAGTGGGATTCATGATTCATGGCGCTAAGTTGATGGGCTGCTTTGTCTTGTACCAGCTGAAGCTTTTTCGGGGCCTGTGGCTTCTTGCATCAACATGAGAGGGAATAATCAAACTCTCACAGCCCAGGCCAGGCAGCTCCTGTGCTGGGCTGGGGAAGACGCTCCTCCTCGTTAGGCCATTGGTAAAGCCCTCCAGAGAGAAGTGGGATTCATGATTCATGGCGCTAAGTTGATGGGCTGCTTTGTCTTGTACCAGCTGAAGCTTTTTCGGGGCCTGTGGCTTCTTGCATCAACATGAGAGGGAATAATCAAACTCCAGAAGTCAAAAGTTACATTTATGACATTGATTACCATGAGGAGCACGATCTGATAGGAGGAATGCAATCATCTGGCCAGTCATAGATGGAAGTGGGCATTTTTTTGACATCTGGTGGCTTGAAGGAGTTTAAAAAGGACTTCTAGGCTGCTGACCTCACCTCATTAGTAGAGGATGCTGTAGAGGAGCCAGTTTCTTTGAAGGACTTTCCCATATCCTTAATCTTGCCTGAGTTCAGCATTAGAGAATTGCTCTTCATCCAGGTGCTGACTTTGGCTGGATTCTGCTAGAGCCTGGAGATATTGCTGCATATATTGAATATAAAGAAGATGGAAAGCTGGGTATCAGCTGTGTTTTGCTGTCACTTTAACCTATATTAATTCTATAGCCCTCCCAAAGGCTTCATAGAGTTGTTGAAGTAATATGGGGGAGAATATTGGGTCATTGGGAACTGCAGGTGAGGGAACAGTTAGTTGTCTGTAATAGCTCTCTGCTCATTCTTGGCAGTCTGAGAGGAAGGAGAAGATGTGACATGGTCCTGAGCCCTATCCTTTTGCTTATTCCTCTTACTGAGAGCAGGTTGCCCCATACTGAGGACAAAACGATGGCTGGACAATAGGGATGTTAAATATCAGTTAACTGAATAATCGATTAACCTCATGAATTCTTATTGGTTACTTGACTATTCTATAGTATCCAGGGGTGGGGCCAGCAGCCAGTGCTCTCTGGCCCCACTCCCAAAGAGCCCCCTGCCACTCTGCACTGCTGCCTCTATATCCGAGGCAGCAGCGTGAGGTGCCAGGTAGCTGCTCTGTGAGGGGAGCCAGTTGAAAAACCACTTCTGCTCCTGGGCTGGCTGCCTGTCACCCCTTGCTGCTGCCTCTGTTATAGGGTGGCAGCAGCCCCTATCCAGGGAGAGGGTCTGAGCTCCTGGACCCAGCACAAACCAGAACTGAGCCGAGCTGCCTGCCCGCCTGGTTCCTAATACACTTTAAATGCAGAGCTGCTGCAAAGGTAGGTTCTGGACCCAGCTGCTGGCCAGCCTGCTAACAAATTTACTTGCAGGGGAATGTGTGTAGTCTATAGCAGTGGTCCTCAACATTTTGGGGCTGCTGGGCGCCCGGGAGCGGCGTTGCGCATGTGCCGCGCGTCCGGGGCCCAGGGCGCAAGAATGGCTTGGGCTGGCCCTGGTCACTCGGCAGGCGCACATAAATGCCCCGGTGGGCGCCATGGTGCCCACGGGCACCGCGTTGGGGACCACTGATCTAGACTACGCTAAAGTGTCGAAAGAGGATATGCAAATTCCACAGGAATTTGCATATCTTCTTCTGATCTCACTTTTGAAAGTGGAACTTTCTAATCAAGACGCAGGGTTTTTTCGGCAACCCCCCCTTTTTTTTGAAAAGCCACTTTTCCTCAAAAAATGAGGATTACGTGGCTTTTCGAAGAGCGGAGAGGGATTGCTGGAAAAAACGCATCTAAACTACTTTCACTTTCGAAAGCTCTGCTTTTGAAAGTGAGATCAGAAAAAGATATGCAAATTACTGTGGAATTTGCAAATCCTCTTTCAACACTTTAGCATAGTCTAGATCAGCCCTCAATCTTTTGCTTATCCATTAATTGGTTACACTATTAGGGTATGTCTACACTACAGCACTAATTTGAACTAACTTAATTCGAATTAGTTAATTTGAACTAAGCTAATTCGAACTAGTGCATCTATACCTAAAAACTAGTTCGAATTAACATTTTGCTAATTTGAACTAGCATGTCCACATTGAATGGACCCTGAACCGGGGTTAAGGCTGGCCAGAAGCAGTGCCGGCAGGGCATCAGATTAGGACTTAGAGCGTGGAGCTACTGTCTCAGGCTGGCCGAGGGCTGTGCTTAAAGGGACCCGACCCCCACCCGGACAGACAGTTCTCAGGGTTCCCCGCTTGCTTGTTTACCTCGATGAGGGACAGCAAAGCAGTCCTGTCTTGGAGTGCCCTGAATGCCCACACTTAGCACATCACAGCATTCGGCCATCAGCCCGGCTGCACTTGCTGCAGGCTGCCATCCACGGGGGTCAATCGGAGGGCTGCAGGAGAGTTTCCGCCCCGAGGAGTCTGCAGAGCCATCTCAGTCCTCCCCACTGGGGGCTCGTACCCCATTCTTCCCTCACCTCCTTCCACTTACCCCTCCCTAGCCCCCCTTCCTGATGTAAAAAATAAAGGACGTGTGTTCAAAAATAGAAACTCTCTTTATTTAACAAAACTGGAGGGGGGTTAACCTCAGGGAAGACTGGGAAAAGGAGGTGGGAGAGGGAAACCTCGGAGGAGGGAGCTGGAAGGGGGAAGCCAGGGGAAGAAGGAGGAGGGGAAGTATCAAACTATGGTTCACCATATCTACAGTACTGTGTACAGATGTGGTCTCCTCACCCCAGAAAAGATATTTTGGCCTTGGAAAGGGTTCAGAAAAGGGCAAGTAAAATGATCAGGGGTTTGGAACAGGTCCCATATGAAGAGAGGCTAAAGAGACTGGGACTTTTCAGCTTAGAAAAGAGACTGAGGGGGGATATGATAGAGGTCTATAAAAGCATGAGTGGTGTAGAGAGGGTGCATAAAGAAAAGTTCTTCATTAGTTCCCATAATATAAGGACTAGAGGATACCAAATGAAATGAATGGGTAGCAGGGTTCAAACTAATAACAGGAAGTTCTTCTTCACAAAGCAAATATTCAACCTGTGGAACTCCTTGCCGCCAGAAGCTGTGAAGGCTAGAACTAAAACAGAGTTTAAAGAGAAGTTAGATAAAGTCATGGAGGTTGGGTCCATGGAGTGCTATTAGCCAGGAGGTAGGAATGGTGTCCCTGGTCTCTGTTTGTGGAAGGCTGGAGATGGATGGCACGAGACAAATGGCTTGGTCAGTGTCTTCGGTCCATCCTCTCCAGGGTAGCTGGTGTTGGCCACTGTCGGCAGACAGGCTACTGGGCTAGATGGACCTTTGGTCTGACTCAGTACGGCCGTTCTTATGTTTTAAGCTCAGGGTCGGGGGGTCTCACTGGACCACCTTGATTTTCATGCAAACCTGCTTCTGGGTTCGCATGTGGCCTTAGACGGCCGCTTTCCTGTGCCTAGTGCGGAGGGGTCGTGGACATTGTAGGCCTCCTCCCAAACCTGGATGAGGTCCATGATCTCCACACTAGACCAGACGGGCGCCCGCCTCTTGCGGCCCCGGGCAGGCTCCCGGGAGCCGAGGCGGAGGGCTGGATGGCAGCGGGTGGCTGGCTCGTGCCGTGCCAGGTGCAGGGTCTTCTGGCTGGGTGCTTTAAGGGCTTTGGGGCCGGGAGGGGGGCAGAAGGGTTTCCCTGGCTTGGCCCAGAGTGGCCACCAGGGCAAGCTGGGAAGGGCTAGCCTCCCACTAGTTCGAATTAAGTGGCTACACAGCCCTTAATTGTAACTACTTAATTTGAACTAGGCTTAGTCCTCGTAGAATGAGGTTTACCTAGTTCGAATTAGGCGCTCTGCTAGTTCGAATTAAGTTCGAACTAGCGGTTTGTATGTGTAACGCCTGTGAAAGTTAATTCGAACTAACGACTGTTAGTTCGAATTAACTTTGTAGTGTAGACATACCTTACATCCCTACTGGACAGTGCCCCAGCTTTACCACTCAGTAGAATGACCTGTCATGCAGAATGATTGTGTGTGTCGCCATATGGGATCCAGACAAACTGCAGACTCCAGCACTGCATTCTTTGTTGCCCTGAAGTTCCTGGGGCTGCTACCAACTCAGAGTAGAGATGGAGAATCCCATTTAATCGGTTCACTGGTTAAACACGACATTTAACTGGTTAATCGATTGAAGGGGCACCAGCAGAGATGGGCCACTTCAGCCTAGCCGGAGCAGTCCCTGCCTGCGATGTGCACTGTTTGTGGCAGGTCTTGCGGGGTTGGAGTAGCTCCCTTCCTGCAGCTCCCTGCCCTCTTTGGAGCTGGATTATCTGTTATCTCGACAGTCTCCAGTGCCAGATGCTTCATGGTCATTTGAACTCTTTTGCCCTCTAATATAATAATGAAGGTCTTTGTGTTCTCTGAAATTGGGAAACTATTAAAAATATAGCATCAGTGATTCAGTCTTGGATATTATTTTGGATGAATGTGTAACCTTTAAAGTAGATCTGGAAGGGTTTCTGCATGTATTGTTTTATTTGACAAATCCCGGGATTGTCAGATCTGGTCTCGCCTAACTTAAATGAAAGGCTCATTAGATGTCTCAAACAAATTAAAACGTAGCTTTCTTAGATCTTGGAATCTACGTCAATAAAGAGAACCTATGTCCGAAATGCGTTTGTTAAAGATGTGTCAGCAAAATAAAAATTACGTTTTCTGAATTTTTAAAATCCTTTCTCTTTTTAACTAGGTTTTACTTCCTTCTTGCCTGATAATTATAATCCTATTGATTCTGAGTCTTTGAGCTTTTCAGGATTAGAAAAGTTGCAACAGTTTAATCAGGTTGATTTTAAATTGATTTAGACCTGTGTAATTTTTTTACCCTATCAAAGTCTTGAATTTCTAGTGTAAACAAATCAAAGTGATTGTGGGGGGAAAAGATCTTTTCAGGCGTTCTTATGTATCACATGGGAGTAAAAAAGGTACAAACTGTGCTATTTTGTTTCAGAAGGGGCATCAGGCCTAAGAATGCTTTTGAAGTATTATTGTTAATTGTTTATATACATTTACATGGCACTTTACACACAGAGAAAGAGAGACATCCTCTGCTCCAAAGAACAAGGCAAGACAAACACATAATAAGACTGAGGACAACTGATCAGGTGAGAGGGATATTGCTGAGATGGGGTTGATTGAAGAGCTATTTCAAAATGAATTTGAAGGGTGTAAAGGAAGTTTGGCTGGTGAGGGTAGGAAGAGTGTCCTAGTCCTACAGGCAGAATAGTAGAAGGCATGAGTGAATGGAAATGAGGAATGGTGAAGTAAGGGGAGAGGGAATGAGGTCAGAGACCTAAGCAGGGCGGAGATTACTTGAAAAGTTTAAATTACATTCGATAGATTCCATAAGAGAGCTATCTAGTTGTGGTGACACACTGAGAATGACAGGAGCGGAGAATGGTTTTTGGGGCAGAAATGGACTGCAATGAGGCATGGGGACAGTCCCACTCTAGGGAATAGTGACATGTTATTCCTTATTTAGAGAGCTTCCAATTAAACGTTCTAACAGGAATCCAGGATACTGTTTTTGGGACGAAAACTGCATTGTTCTTGGCTCATCCCTTCTATCCTGTTCCCTTTCAGGTGTTCAAGTATCATTCATCACAGCCTTTGATGTGAAAATGACCAAGTTAGGGTTTCTCCGCCTGTCCTATGAAAAACAGGACACGCTGCTCAAGCTTCTTATCCTGTCAATGGCAGCTGTGCTATGTAAGTCTGAGCCTTGATAATTTATCGATGTACATCTTCCATAATACTGCTAGCCCTGCTCCATGTTCTGCATTTCTTAGAGTAATGGGACTCAGTTACATTTAAAATAGCTTTAATAAACCTGGCCATTAATATATTGAAAATAATATCTCCTTACCTCAACTCACCAGGGGGCAGTTTGAGCCAGTCCTGGATAGCAAGCCATGCACAACTTTTCACAGGCTTTAAGCTTTCACAGGCTTTAAGCTTTCATCTAGCAAAGATACTGCAAATAAATCCAAGTTTCTCTTGCTATGTGAATGCTGTATGTTGATGCTCTCTTCTACCTATGTATTGCAGCTTTCTCCACTAGACTCTTCTCAGTGTTAAGATTTGAAAGTGTCATCCATGAATTTGACCCGTAAGTACTCTGCTTGTGTCTTGGTGGTCTCCTATCAGTCTTTTTCCTTGTGAGTATGTAAAGATGGTGTTGTGTTTGTCAGGGTATCTTTAGTCATAAATATTTATGACTGGAGAGAGGTGCAGATGATCACATGATAACCTGCTAAAACTCAGAATGCATAGTAAAAAATGGCCAGTGCTCCTAAGGATTTTATTTCAAGATGGTATACTGCTCAGCATCTGGGCTGGTGCCGTCTGTCATGGAGACAGCACTTACTCATGCACTGATTATTTAAAGTCTGGTATTGGAACGTGAGGAGGAGTAAACAACATTTCCAGTGTCCACACTGCAGAGACACTCAATATCTTATGATATTACAGGTACTTTAATTACCGCACAACCCGCTTCCTGGCAGAAGAGGGCTTCTATAAATTCCACAACTGGTTTGATGACAGAGCCTGGTATCCCCTGGGGAGGATCATTGGTGGAACCATTTACCCAGGTAAAGCCAGGGTGTTTTTTGTGTGCTAAACCTCACTTTAAGGTAAAGGAAGTTCAGATGGTGCAGATTCTGGACTCCTATATTGGTTCAAGAGACTTCTACCTTATCTTGTCACCTGTTCACTACTTCCAAGACCATTATGGTAGGGCAATCAAACTTGGTTTTTCTCTGACTTTTTACATCAGTATAATGAAACATTAAAATTGTTCTTACTGGTTGTGTAGCTGAAAAGGTACTTGGGTATAATTTTGGAAAAACAAATTGATTATTTGGTAGCTCACTGGGCCAGCACCTGATTGTGGTAGTTTAGATAATCCTTGCTGGGAAAAATTTAGGGATTCTTCATTTAAGAGAATTTGATTGGATCTGTACATGCCTGTGTCTTTCCTCCCTCCCCATTCTCCCTTTAGTTGAGAACTTGAGAGTGGAAGACAGTATAGGGGACAGTGATCATGAAATAATAGAGTTCATGATCTTAAGGAAAGGTAGAAGGGAGACCAGCACAATTGAGGTAATGGATTTCAGGAAGGCAGATTTTGATAAGCTCAGAGAACTTGTAGGTAAGGTCCCATGGGAAGCAAGACTGAAGGGAAAAACAACTGAGGAGAGTTGGAAGTATTTCAAAGGGACGTTGTTAAGGGCCCAAAAGCAAACAATTCCGCTGTGTAGGAAAGACAGAAAATATGGCAAAAGACCAGCTTGGCTTAACAAGGAGATCTTGCACAATCTCAAAATAAAAAAGGAGTCATATAAAAAATGGAAACTAGGACAACTAACAAAGGAGGAATATAGGCAAGCAACACGGGAATGCAGGGGCAAGATTAGAAAGGCAAAGCCACAAAATGAGATCAAACTAGCTACAGGCATAAAGGGAAACAAGAAGACCTTTTATAAATACATTAAAAGCAAGAGGAAGACCAAGGACAGGGTAGGCCCACTGCTTAGCGAGGAGGGAGAAGCAGTAACAGGGAACTTGGAAATGGCGGAGATGCTCAATGACTTCTTTGTTTCGGTCTTCACCGAGAAGTCTGGAGGTGTGCCTAACGTAGTGAATACAAGCAGAGAGAGGGTAAGTTTAGAAGATAGGATACACAAAGAACAAGTTAAAAATCACTTAGGAAAGTTAGATGTCAGCAAGTCACCAGGTCCTGATGAAATGCATCCCAGGATACTCAAGGAGCTGATAGAGGAGGTATCTGAGCCTTTAGCTATGATCTTTGAAAAATCATGGCAGACAGGGGAGATTCCAGAAGACTGGAAAAGGGCAAATATTGTGCCCATCTATAAAAAGGGGAATAAGAACAACCCAGGAAACTACAGACCGGTCAGTTTAACGTCTGTCCCAGGGAAGATAATGGAGCAGGTAATTAAGGAAATCATATGCAAACACTTGGAAGGTAATAAAGTGATAGGGAATAGCCAGCATGGGTTTGTGAAGAACAAGTCATGCCAAACTAATCTGATAGCTTTCTTTGATAAGATAACGAGCCTTGTGGATAAGGGAGAAGCGGTGGATGTCATATACCTAGACTTTAGTAAGGCATTTGATACGGTCTCGCATGATATTCTTATTGATAAACTAGGCAAATATAACTTAGATAGGGCCACGATAAGGTGGGTGCATAATTGGCTGGATAACCGTAGTCAGAGAGTTGTTGTTAACGGTTCTAAATCCTGCTGGAAAGGGATAACAAGTGGAGTTCCTCAAGGGTCTGTTTTGGGACCCATACTGTTCAACATCTTCATCAATGATGTAGATATTGGGATAGAGAGTACGCTTATTAAGTTTGCAGATGATACCAAACTGGGTGGGGTTGCAACTTCTTTGGAGGATAGGGACATAATTCAAAATGACCTTAGCAAGTTAGAGAAATGGTCAGAGGTAAACAGGATGAGGTTTAATAAAGAGAAATGCAAAGTGCTCCACTTAGGAAGGAACAATCAGTTCCATACATACAAGATGGGAAGCGACTGTCTAGGAAGGAGCATGGCAGAAAGGGATCTAGGGGTCATAGTGGACCACAAGTTGAATATGAGTCAACAGTGTGATGCTGTTGCAAAAAAAGCAAATATGATTCTAGGTTGTATCAACAGGTGTGTTGTAAGCAAAACTCGTGAAGTCATTCTGCCGCTCTACTTATTCCTTGAGTATCCTGGGATGCATTTCATCAGGACCTGGTGACTTGCTGACATCTAACTTTCCTAAGTGATTTTTAACTTGTTCTTTGTGTATCCTATCTTCTAAACTTACCCTCTCTCTGCTTGTATTCACTACGTTAGGCACACCTCCAGACTTCTCGGTGAAGACCGAAACAAAGAAGTCATTGAGCATCTCCGCCATTTCCAAGTTCCCTGTTACTGCTTCTCCCTCCTCACTAAGCAGTGGGCCTACCCTGTCCTTGGTCTTCCTCTTGCTTTTAATGTATTTATAAAAGGTCTTCTTGTTTCCCTTTATGCCTGTAGCTAGTTTGATCTCATTTTGTGCCTTTGCCTTTCTAATCTTGCCCCTGCATTCCCGTGTTGCTTGCCTATATTCATCCTTTGTTAGTTGTCCTAGTTTCCATTTTTTATATGACTCCTTTTTTATTTTGAGATCATGCAAGATCTCCTTGTTAAGCCAAGCTGGTCTTTTGCCATATTTTCTATCTTTGTTTGATTTTGGACAGAGGGGAGGGATAGCTCAGTGGTGCTAAACCCAGGGTTGTGAGTTCAGGCCTTGCGGAGGCCATTTAGGGATTTGGGGCAAAAATTTGTCAGGGATGGTACTTGACCTTTCAAGGTCCCTTCCAGTTCTAGGAGATAGGCAATCTCCATTATTATTATTATTATTTATTATTATTATAGCATGCTATTGTGAACTATATTATTGATTGTACTTGCATGATGGTATCAGATAAATAGAGAAGTGAAATTCTCTGAACTCACACACGATCTGGACCTTCATAATTCTAATACAGCCCTGAAATAAGACTCTATTTAAATGCAGTCCAATTGTATCCTGCAGGGTTGCACGTTGTTACACATTCTCCAAAGGTAAAACATAGTTACTCAAGGTCAGCTGGAGGAGGAAGTTTGCTCCTTATTCCATGTTCAGAGTCCAGTTAAGTCAGATGCTAGATGTCTTCTAAAGGGTCTCAAGTATTTTTATGGCTGTCCCTTTAAATCTAACTAGCATCATCCTGGATCTGAGGCACTGGCTAAACATCCCCTGTTTTTAAATTCTCACCCAAACCTTCCTAGAATTAGGGGTTTGGGTGGGAATCCCTAAGACCTTCAAATATTAGAGTATTAAGGACAATATAAGTATCTAGGTATTCATAAACAAAAGATAGGACTATGCAGCACTTTAAAGACTAACAAGATGGTTTATTAGGTGATGAGCTTTCATGCAACAGACTCTCTTCCTCAGATCAAATTGTGGAAGAAAATTGGCGTGACCATAAATACCAAAGGGTATGTCTACACTACAAAGTTAGTTCGAACTAACGGACGTTAGTTCGAACTAACTTTCCTATGCGCTACACTAGCGCTTCGCTAGTTCGAATTTGAATCGAACTAGCGGAGCGCTTAGTTCGAACTAGGTAAACCTCATTTTACGAGGACTAACGCCTAGTTCGAACTAGCTAGTTCGAACTAAGGGCTGTGTAGCCCTTTAGTTCGAACTAGGGGGAGGCTAAGCCTCCCCAGGTTTCCCTGGTGGCCACTCTGGCCAACACCAGGGAAACTCTATGCCCCCCTCCCAGCCCCGGACCCCTTAAAGGGGCACGGGCTGGCTACGGTGCCCGTGCCAGGTGCAAGCCTGCCAGCACCCAGCTAGCAGACCCTGCACCTGGCACGGCACAGAGCCACCCACCCGATGCCCCCCAGCCCACCCCCTCTTGCCGGGACCAGGCTGGCGGCTCCCGGGAGCTTGCCCTGGACCGCAAGAGGCGGGCACCTTCCTGGGCTAGTGCGGACATCGTGGACCTCGTCCACGATCTCTGCACTAGGCACAGGAAAGTGGCCGTCTAGGGCAGGAGAGCTGCCAGCCTGGCCACCCAGGACCAGGTGTGCATGAAAATCAAGGGGGTCCACTGAGACCCCCGACCCTGAGCCCTGAGCTTACAATGGCCGTACTGGGTCAGACCAAAGGTCCATCTAGCCCAGTAGCCTGTCTGCCAACAGCGGCCAACCCTAGGGACCCTGGAGGGGATGGACCGAAGACAGTGATCAAGCCATTTGTCTCGTGCCATCCCTCTCCAGCCTTCCACAAACTTTGGGCAGGGACACCACTCCTACCCTCTGGCTAATAGGACTCCATGGACCCAACCTCCATGACTTGATCTCACTTCCCTTTAAACTCTGTTCTAGTTGTAGCCTTCACAGCCTCCTGCAGCAAGGAGTTCCACAGGTTAACTATTTGCTTTGTCAAGAACAACTTTCTCTTACTAGTTTCAAGCCTGCTACCCATTCCTTTCCTTTGGTGTCCTCTAGTCCTTCTTTATGGGAACTCATGAAGAACTTTTCTGAATGCACCCTCTCCACCCAACCCCTGCTTTTAGAGACCTCTATCCTGTCCCCCCTCCGTCTCCTCTTTTCTAAGCTGAACAGTCCCAGTCTCTGTAGCCTCTCTTCATCTGGGACCTGTTCCCAACCCCTGATCATGTTAGTTGCCCTCCCCTCTCCCAGCCTTTCTCTTCCCCTCTCCCACCTCCTTTTCCCAGTCTCCCCCAGTTTTTTTCAATAAAGACAGAGTCAATGTTGGAAGAAACGTTATCTTTATTTTGTACATCAATAAGAAGGGGGGCTAGGGAAGGGTAAGTGGAAGGAGGTGAGGGAGGAATGGGGTACGAGCCCCCGATGGGGAGGACTGGGCTGGCTCTGCGGGCTTCTGGGGGTGGAAGCTCTCCTGCAGCCCCCCAATTACTCCCTCTCCCCAGATGGCAGCCTGCGGCAAGTGCAGCCGGGCTGATGGCCGAGTGGTGTGATGTGCCCAGTGTGGGCACTCAGGGCACTCCAAGCCAGAACTTCTTTGCAAGCGGGGCACCCCTTAGAACTGTGTGTCCGGGGTGGGGGTCGGGACCCTTTAAGCGCAGCCCTCGGCTAGCCTGAGACAGTATCTCCATGCTCTAAGTCCTCCTTTTATGCCCTGCCGGCACTGCTTCCGGCCATCCTTAAGCCCTGTTCAGAGTCCACTCAATGTGGACTTACTAGTTCGAACTAGCAAAACGCTAGTTCGAACTAGTTTTTAGTTCTAGATGCGTTAGTTCGAACTAGCTTAGTTCGAATTAACTAATTCGAACTAAGTTAGTTCGAACTAACTTTGTAGTGTAGACATACCCAAAGGGATACAATCAAAAAAATGTGAACACATATAAAATTAACAAATCAGATTTTAGAGCAGAGGGAAGGTGTGTGTGGGAGGTTAGTGTCTATGAGATAATGATATTAGGGGTGATAGCTTCCCCAATTATCTTTGTAATGTGTAAGGTAGTTTACGAATGGGCCTTAACAAAGATGCTAACTACCTTACACATTACAAAGATAATTGGGGAAGCTATCACCCCTAATATCATTATCTCATAGACACTAACCTCCCACACACACCTTCCCTCTGCTCTAAAATCTGATTTCTCAATTTTGTGTTCACATTTTTTTGATTGTATCCCTTTGGTATATATGGTCATGGCAATTTTCTTCCACAATTTGATCTGAAGAAGAGGGTCTGTCGCACGAAAGCTCATCACCTAATAAACCATCTTGTTAGTTTTTAAAGTGCTGCATAGTCTGGTCTTGCTAAAACAAAAGACAGGACTAACATGGCTACATCTCTATTACTATTCTATAGGTATTCATAACAAACTTAATGAACTAGTTTAGATACATTAGTTTTACAGTGTCCCTCTAAGTTCTCTTTACAGCAAGGTCATCCCTTAACTTAAACAGCGTCCTCAGGTACTTTCTGTTCTAAATGAAGTACAGCAAATTACTGTATTGCTAGTGGTAACAGGATTGTCTCTGTCATTCAGGTTTAATGATCACGTCAGCAGCAATTTACCATATTCTGCACTTCTTCCACATTACCATTGATATCCGAAATGTCTGTGTGTTCCTGGCTCCTCTCTTCTCTTCTTTTACCACCATAGTAACTTATCACCTCACCAAAGAACTCAAGGTAAAGAGCAGATCTGTGCATACCTGCTGAATTGTGTAGCTTTCAGTAGAGAGCATGAGATTTGTCGTCTTGTGTACCTGTCAGTCAAAGCAGAAGTATTGATAATTGCAGGGGGAGCTGCGATTGTGATCCTTAATATTTCTATTGCTTTGACTATTGATTTATTTGCTGTTTGTAGCCAGATCAGTTTATTCATCTGGCCTTTAACATTTATGAGGCCTGTATATTATTGGCAAGGCTTTTTATTGGCTTCTACCCAGTAGGTTATTTTCTGTGCTCTATTTCACTCTGTGTTGGCACTGACTGACTTTGATGGGAAGGCTAGCAGGATAGCAACTATACTTGGTTTTTATAGATTAAGAGGAAATAGCAGCACTCTCCTTCTGTTATGTTTAGGGTCCGTTGCTTTGTGAGTGCTACAAATTAGGGATGGTGTCAAGCTCCTCCCGGCATTTCAAAGCGGCAGCACCACGTGGAGCCCAGGATCAGCTGGGAACTCCCTAGGGCTGTTCCTACACTTCAAAGGCAGAATCGCCCTACCTGCTAATCAAATAGTCGATATTTAACATCCTTAGTAGGAGGTGTTGAGCCTAAATGTGTTGCCTCAGCTTGACACACAGGCAGCTCTGTGAGCTGATAAAGGATCTTTACTTAGTTGGGACATCTGGGCCAGAGTTTATCTTGTGCCTGGTGGAATTTTCTGCTGCCTGGAGATTTCTTTTGAATGATGCACAAGGCTTGTACTTGTTCAACAATTTGTGCTCAGAGACATTTTCCTGTCACATTCACGTCCACTTACGGTTCTGTCCCAAGTGCATAACTTTTATTTTTTCATTGGCACTACTTGGAACAAAGTCTTTCATATTTGCTTAATTCTCCCCGCTGGCTTTTAAAAATATGTTTGAGTTGAAGAGGATGATCTTGGCATTGGAGCTTGGGCTACTGCCCAGAGATCCTTCCTAATTCAGTCTCCTGTGTTCTTATTGACCACATCAGTCAGTCCAACTGGGAGTTTCAGCCTTACTGTCAAATTTTGTAGCCAGTAGTGAAGGTAGCTTCAGGAATCAGTTTAGATACAGTGCAGTGAGTTCCTTCTGCCAGCTTTCTGCAGTAATCAGGTTAGACTCTCTGATCTGTATTTCAGTCTCTGCACTGATCGTTCTAGCAGAGGAGAGCAACATTTATGGGCCTCCAAAGGGATCCTCGTCCAGCTCTCCTTGACTGAAGGAAGGCTGTGACACAGGAGCCGGAGAGAGAGGGGTGTAGGGATTTTTTTTATGGCCCTTGCAACTGAGAAAATTTATTATTTAAGTCAATAAGGCCTGGTCTATACTAAACTAGGCAGGTCGTTTTAAGGTACGCCATCCATTGTGCAAAATGCACAGCTGGAATCAACTTACCTTAAGTCGAGCTGTGGCGGAGTCTACATGTCAGGAGGCTGACGGGAGTATATGCTCCTATCAGCTTTCCTTATTCTTTGCAGATTGAGGAGTGCCAGATGCTGGCAGGTGTGGTCCCTCAGTATTTGATTGGAGGTCCCATCAAATTCAACGCTAAAAGATCGACCTCCAGAAGGTCGATCTTCTCCATATTGTAGACATGCCCTAAGCGGGTACTCTGCCTTTTGATACGTTTGCCTTTGCCAGCAGAGCATGTAAATCTCTTTAAAAACTGAAGTTGAATC